TACAAAGGCCTCAACAACAATCAAATAAGAGAGGGGTCTTCTTTCTTTGGTATAAAAAACTATTGATGGCTGAAAAAACCTATCAACCATCTTCAAAGAAAATAAAGATCAAAGTATGTGGCAAATATAATTCACCGCATCTTGGATTTTTTCAATATATGATGATCGCTCCTTCTGAAATTCGTCCTTAGAAGGAGAAATACATATTTATTCTAATATTTATCTATATGTTTAAATAGAATTACATAAAAATAAATTTATTTCATAATATTTACTAGAGAAGCTTCTGAGAAGCTTTATAGACAATACTTTGACTTTACATGTGTACTTCATAAACTTGGTCAATAAGTTAATCATGTATTGATAGCTTACAGAATAAGCTAATTATATAGCATACATATAAAAAACTTCCTTTGTAAGTTAAGATATGTGTCTTACAAAGTCAACACATTTTGGAGGACTTATAAAATAGTACTATATAGTTCCTAGTTAAGAGTATATATAGAGGCAAGAGTAAAGTCTTCTTTACTATTGTCAATGCCTTTCTATTCCTTAATCTAGATTTAAGACTTTCAAGTCTTCTTGTCTTTAGTAATAGCCATTTTAGTTTAATATTATATCATCTTTGAGTGACTTTTTAGTTCTTTTGAGTGACATAAGAGTGTATTAAGGATTTCTTTCTTTAAGATTCAAGTCCTTGACAAAAACAAGGGCTAAGAACAATGGTGGAGAATTGGAAATGGAAGAAACAAAGAATATAGATGCAATGATGTTTTAAACAAGTAGGTAGATTTAGTAAAAGTCTAAGGTATTTTAACATTTTAAAATAAATATAATTATGAAAAATTCATGTTAAAACAACTTTTTTTGTTGGAACAAAATCTTTTATAGAGAGTATCAATATGTAAGGCAAAAACCTAAATAAAAGATAGTTTGTTTAAAATTTTATTTAATAGTCATAATAAAGAAGAAAAATTATTATTATATAGAATATTTTATAAATTATATATATTTTCATCTTAAAATCTTAATTTTAATCTTAATTCTATATAGAATCAAAATGCATATGATAGAATTGGATTAATTAAGATTTATATTCAAATTATATAAGTTACATTTTAGAATAAGATAGAAAATTTAAAGACTTTAATTTCCATAATTCTATAATTTCTATAATTAATGTCTAAAACAAATAAAAGATGAATATGCTAAGCTTTGGTCTAGCTCAGCCTATTCATCCAACATGGACTTTTCAAACTAAGTTTTTCTTAGGATTTGAGTCCCACATGGCAACTCTTCACACATGTTATTTATTAAAAAATTCCATCCATTAATAAATGTGATATATCTTTTGCAACACAACAAGTCATTGTTTAAATTTTTTCATGTGCATTGTGATTTAGACAATTTATTGTTGGATTTAAATAAAATTTAATTTTTTCTAATAATTATTTAGTGATTGAGATCTAGAATCCTAAAAATAACTATATACATAGATTTGAAGATTTTTTATAAATTGGTATAATATTTCTTATGTCAATAAATGAGGTCTATAAAAATTGGAAAGAATTTATTTTTGTAAGTCATTATGAAATCAAAGCAAGTTTTTATATGACTTAGAAGTTATAGAAGAAGTTAAGTCAAGGAATAGTAGGGATTGAAATTAGGATAATATTTTTAAAAATGAAGTCATATACCATAGAATTATGGAAATTATGTTTTATAAGATAGAAAATTGTTTTAAAATTGATCAAATTAGAAATGTGAACCATGACATTAACATTAAGGAATTCCATCTCTAATAATATTCAAATTTCAATAATTAAAGGAAATATTAATAATAGACATGATAGCTCTATTAGAACAACTTTTGTGCAAATTGAATTAAATCCATACTAAAGACTAAGTCAAAGTTTCCAATGATCTAACAACAAAAATAACCAAAAAAATTAAGACAAAGTAGGTCAAAGTTTTGTTCACTTGTCATATCACCTTAATACAGTTCTAAGCAAAAATAAATAAAAAATAGTTTAGATATGTGAATATGGTAGGAAGATTGAAACTTGACATCTCAAAGAAAAAAATAAAAAAATAAAAAAATAAAAATGATGGAGTTTAGAGAAAAATTTCAACCAATAAGAAGTAGTCTTATTCACAACTAAAATTGATGCAAAGACTGAATATAAAAGATCTTATTAATAATTTTAAAATTTATTAGTCCCATGAGGTAGTTTTGCTAATAATCAAAGATACGTTTTGTAAACAATAATAGTCTCTATTTTATAACCACCTTTGATACTATCAAACCATTCCTATACATAAAAAATCAGATTAATATCAATAATTAATAATTAATAAATAAATAATAATAATAAATTTCATATACTTTTAATATTCATAAGATAGAAATACGTGTTTATTTTTGTAGATTAAAAAAATAATCTAATGAATTCTCATATCATCATTTTTAGAACTAACAAAGAATATGAAATGATCTTCTATTTAAATCTCTACCTTATATTAACTATTTATAAACAAAAATCCTACTTAAATAATAGCTTAGTATTTTATTTATCTCTACATTCCAACTTTAAAATTGGTCTTTAATTGTAATCTCAAATTAGAAGATGAAAAAAAAAGTCTTTTAGTCACTTCTAATTTTTAGAAAGATGTAGAAAGTTTAATGATTTTCAATGTACAATGTCACATTGATAACTTCTTTCCATACAAAAGATATTTATTTTATTTTAATATCTTATCTAAAATTTAAAAAAAATATTATATTTTATAAATTTTAGAATCTAAATAATCTTACCAAACTATTTAAGTTTTATGATTGTTTGAATAGCCTATGAAATAGATGTTCTATATTAATGTTACAAATTCTTACACTTTGTAGTAAAAAAACGAGTTGATAAATGTGGATACAAATTTTTGTGTTTTAAAAAAGATACTAGGGTTTTGTTGAAAAATCATAATGAAATAGGATTTGGTAGAATATTATAATTTTTTTATATTATTATGCATTTGTTTCTTGTTAATTTATTGGATATTTCAGATTATCTAAAATATTATTTAAATATTTTTCATAAGATACAAAATTGATGTAAAGAACATTTATTCTTTAAACAACTTTCTTAGAATTCAGAAAAAAATGAAAAATTTTATAATATTTCAAAAAAAAGATATTTCTTAGATAATTGGTGGCAATTGAAACATCATTGTAGAAATGTAGAAGAAATGTTTAAATTTTTAAAAATATATATTTAAATTAAATCTATATTATATATTTAATTTAATAAAAATTATATTATATAAAATTTAATGAAAATTAAATCTATTATATATTTAAATATATATTTTAATTAAATCTATTATATATTTTGGAAGTATTTTTGTACCTAGACAATTATCATTCAATTCTTATGTTCTTTTTTAACATGGTTCTTTTTAGCCATTGCTGCTTGGTTTCTTTGTGTTATGTTTGATGATTGTGATTGAAGTATCAACATGTGTCTTTAATTTCTTGCTTGGTTTTGGCTAAAATCTCTCGGAACAGCATTTTTTAATTACAGATTTTTACATGTGTAAATATAGGTCTTTTGTTTCGATTGTGAGAACCTTTTTACATTTAAAAATGTATTCGGTTCCGGAAAAATATAAATATTGAAACAATTATTTCTAAAATTATTAATATTCCAACCAATTCATGTAATACGCAAGATTTTAGTACATGATAAATTTTGTATATCTATCAAATTGTTTTTGGATTAGCAGAGGTATAGACTAAATTAAAGCTACCTTAAATCTTATCAATATTTTCTTTTATGATTAAAATTTTTAATTTTATAAGCTTCTTAACATTCCTCATATTCATTACTTAAAAAAATTTATCTGATTTATTTGATCACCTAATATTTTATTTTTTGTATCTGGTGTATATGTTAGTGCAGTAGTATTAAAAGTAAAATATTTATTATGATAAGTAAGACGTAATGATTTATCAACTAAGAGACACACATATAGAATGTGTTCATGCATGTTTTTATCTATATATATATATATATACATATGAAGTTCCATTTTTCTTTTTATTATTTTTTTTCTTATTTTTAATTGTTTAATTCTTAGTAAATGATCAAAACCTTGCTATGCATATATTTGATAAATTATATATATATATATATATATATATATATATATTCTCAATATTTTAAATTTTATATATGTTTTTAAATATAATCAAGTATGTCATCACTTAAAATATAACACTTATGATAACATTTCATAATAAAAATAAAATGTGCACTAAAATATAACATCAACTTTATATCCAAAGCTAAAGTTAATGCATAAAAATTATTCATAATATGTGTCTCAAATATCATCATCCACCAAACAGAAACAACCTAGTATCACCAATCAATCATACAATACATCTTAAAAAAAAATTAAAATTAAAATTAAATTATCTTTTAAATTAAATTATATTCACATGATCATATAAACACTCATTTCAATGTTTATACTCATGTGTATATCACTAGATAATTTATCTATACATCTATATATATGTATATATATAAACATATTCATAAAATAATAGATAAATCTTAAAATCCTTTAAAAAGGCTCACATTCATGGTCACAAGAAACACAAACAGCCAAAATTTATCATCCCTCGTCCAAGGTTGCAGTCCAAAGAGCGAAAAATGCATACTCCATGTGGATGAATAAGCAAATGAACTGACGACAGTTAAGACGAATGAAACATCTAATGGATGAAAAATATTTCTGTTCATCTATTTCCACCGAATGGGACCAGAATGTCGGTTGACGCACATTATTCAAAACGACGAAGCTCGATCGCTCGCTCACTTAAATGCTGACTACGCAAATAAATACCGACGACGACGGAAAATTTCCGAAACGGCGACTGAAGTAGTAGTAGTTGTAGTAGTTTTGTGGGTTTGTTTTGGAGGAAGTAACGAACGAACGAAGGAAGGAAGGAAGGAGTGGATCATTGGCGAAGCGAAACGCGGTGTCGGAGCCGTCGGATGCTGACCACACCCAAAAATTTATCGCACAGTTCTCTGCACATGCACAGTCACAGCACAATTCCTGCTCTCTGCTGCAATTGCGTTTCCATCTCCGTTATGTAACAATCCTCAGTCATAGTTCGTTCGCCTCTTCCCGTTTGTGTGGTCTTCTGTGATTTCTCGAAGCCTGCATCGACTTTGATTTTAGAGGGAGAGTGTAGTTTTTATAAGGTGACTTGGGTCCATAGGAAAAGGAGAAGGGTAAGCTCGTTAGATGGAGAGCTCTATTCTTCGTTTGGGTTTTGAGTGTGGAAGTGTGGCACATGGCGCAATGCCACGGTGATTCGGCAGGGGAGGATTGTTGTTGTTGATGTTGTTGTTGTTGGGGAGTTTTGTGGGCGGAGTGTTCGAGTCGACGTGGGTTGGGAGTGTTGCTGGAAGTTTAATTAATGGAGAGTATTATCAGTTACTTCGTGGGGAAGACCACGGAGCCGGAGAGTAAGGTGCTTCTCCTCTGTCCTTTGTTTCTGGACACGGAACGTTTTTTATGTTTCTCAGCGTGAAAGAGGATGGGTGAATTGCTGGCTCTGCTGTTGTGTTCTGTTAGGGTTTCTATTTTGCGGTGAAACGCTTGTAAGCTTTGAGGGCTTTGGATGCTTAAGTGGCTCTCTAATTGGGTGAATTAGCAATCATGTCCTGGTAGGTCTTTTGGGAATCATTCGATCCATCAGTTGAATTTTTTATTGTTTTGGTTGTGATTTTCAATTTCAATTTCTAACGTTTTATTTTGTCTGTTTTCCCCTTTTTTTGTGTAATTTCGAGCACTTAGTGAAGTTGGATTCTGGAGAGTGGGAACCTTGTTGTGTCGCTATCAGGTGTTCGAAGTACGTCTATACGTGTTTCGCGTTAGATTTCTCTTAATGTTCTTCTAATGATTAGCAGGGTCCGATGAAAGCGTCTCATTTTTTCATCTCTGGTATTATTCAGGGCCTAAGCCTTAAATTGATTGTGACGATTTTCGTTTCCTAGTTGTACGAAGAAGGTATTGATTAGTGGGTTGCGAAAATCGTTATGATCTTCAGAGTTTTCATGATTTGTGCCTTTATTTTCTCCGACTTCTTCCGTTTTATGAAGGAATTCTACCTTGCTGTACTTAGTAATGAGGTCGTGTTGGTAGTTGGAAACATGACTACACAAGCTTAGTTGAACCCCATTGAAGTCCAAAATCATGCTGGTCAATGAGCCCAGAAAGAGAGACTTATTCTCAGTTGATAATCTGTTTTATTGGCGCAAATGTAAAGAAGATGGAGACGCGGAGTTCAGAAATGATTTGATGAGGCCTTTGTTATGATTTTTCTTGCTTTTGCAGATTGAATTTTGGAAGAACCCAGAACGAAGTGGTTGGCTGATGAAGCAGGGTCAGTTTCTCATTTTTAGTACTCTGCATGCCATTCCACTCCTTTGCACATGTGCCAAAGAGCACTGGTACATTTTGTTTTCTTTTCAATCGAAGACTATCACTTATATGTAATGGATTGTTTGAATTGCAGGGGAGTTCATAAAAACATGGCGCAGGAGATGGTTTGTTTTGAAGCAAGGTCGCATTTTCTGGTTCAAAGAGCCGCAGCTAACTCCTGTAATCATCTAATCTAACTTCTGTGACACGCTGCTGTTTGCAAAAAGCAGAGAAATTCTGTACATGCACTGGAGTATGCGAGTTTCATTTTGACATTATCCAAAAAAAATTTGTGCAGTTCTCTAAATCAAGAGGAGTTATTCCAGTGAGCAGCTGTTTGACGGTCAAGGGTGCTGAGGATGTGCTGAATAAACAGTTTGCGTTTGAGCTCTCCACGAATAGGGATACAATGTACTTTATTGCGGACACTGACAAGGTAAGTCTTTCGTTGCAGCTCTTTCGCTCTTGTTCAGGGGATGTGCTGGCGCTCGGATTATTTTGGATGATTGTACATGATGTGTATATTCCAGTGAAGCAGGCCCTTTTATTCGTGATTTTTCTGCGTATTTATGGGTCCATGTCTAATTATCCTCATTCCTTTCGATAATCAAACAGACCTCTCCATCTGTTAATTTTATCCTTTCTGCCAACCCGTCATCATGGCCACTCGCAGCGTATCGCACCAACGTTCATCAAATCGATGGCGTTCAAATAAGTTTTAAGAGATGTGGCCTTATTGTTACAAGCGTTCGTTAGGATGAGAAAATGCACCCAAGAACACCCCAGAAATATACCAATCACCTAACCAAATATTAGTTAAACCGTGCAATGAAGCCTCTTAACTCAATAGCGTTCGCCTTGGTGGTTCAAAAGCCTTAAACCATTGGGCATGAATCCCAACTTGTCACCAAGTTACGAACCATATCAAAAGCAATATCAAGGTTGTTTGTGATGGTGAACATACGTATGACTGGAGTTCTAATACAGTGTCGAAATGTTAAGGATCATGTCACACGCGACACAATTAGCGGAAGCTGAAAATAACACCGTATAATGTAAGAGTTATTAATAACCTTTTTTCTACAAAGATTCCGAATTGATCCCGGGGATCTGGTTGTCTTAACTAGAGTGCGCGGAAATTTTTAATACGTAATTGCGCAGCCTAAAATTTGTCTTTTCGAAAACGTTCTCTGCTCATTCTGTTCTGGGATCTTGACGATGATAGTATTGTCTCTTGTTTCTTTACTTATTTATTTTTTAAGCAACTGGGGTATACCCGTCGCATTGATGGTGGAGAAGTATTTCGAGTAAACAAGACTACCTAAGCTCTGACTAAGGCGAGCATGAGAGTGTGGATATGGTACATTTTGTCTTACCGTCCATATTACGCTGGATCGTCTTAGGAGCGGATATGATCAAGCCACCACTGGGGACTCGTTTGCTCCAGTGGATTCTCATCCCTACTCTAGTGCTCGTTTGTCTCTTGTGTTTGAAGACTTCAATCGTCAATCTGATATAAGATTGGCGACGACTACAGTCGAAGTCTCAGATTGGATGATCTTACGAGTCTAAGGGGTTAAGCTTCCATTCAGCATTAAGAACTGAGCACCTTGATTTCTCGTGCACTGTGACTAATGCAACCCTGGTCTGAAGTGCCTCGATTCTATCATTTCTGGCTTGAATTAGTAAACCATTCCATATATAATTGATCCTACAAGCTCGAAGGGCACTCAGTTGATCCAATCCTTCATACGTAGAAGCTCTTATCAACGTCAGCATTATCAACGTTTTGCTCACTGTTTCATTATGTCCTGTTCCACCTCAGTGTTGGCAAGCCTGTACTGTACTCTAATGACCCAGTTTGTAACTGATGTCGAGATGCAGGAAAAGGAGGACTGGATTAATGCTATTGGCCGCTCTATTGTCCGCCATTCCAAGTCTGTAACTGACGATGAGGTGTTGGACTACGACAGCAAGCAATCTGGTGGTACTGGACGTGAGTGACTCACTGTAAAAAGACAGACAAAATTTCGGACGTTGAAAGCTGACATTCTCAACTATCCAGGCACACAGCAGCCCAATTCTCGTTTCTGAAAGGTTCCTGGCATTTCAATGTGGTTAATTCTTAAAAGGATTAATGCCTCCTACTTCTCAGAGTAGTGTAATAAAATCGTTTGTAACAGGTAGAAGGCTTTTCTCAATACATGTTGGCATCCCTGTAGTTTTGAGAGAGAGAGAGAGAGAGAGCGGTGACAAAAAAGCTACAGGACAGGGAGCCACTGATGTGGAGACGTGCCTTAATCGCCGAGGATTGTGTAGATACGACAAAGGTTGTGCTCCTGGTAGTTTTTACAGTACTATATTCGATGTATTGTTAAGTGTTCTGGAGAACTTTTATTTGTTGGTGGCTATTATAAGAAAACTCGAACATGATGTACTGTAGCCATGCTTGATTTCACACGTACACCATGTCCATCTATCAACTGCTTCTACAACTGTCTTCTTCGTTGTTTTGTCTGCATAAGTAAAAAAAAGTCGTTTAGACAGCAGTTTCCATCTTCTTCACGTGACATTGCTCATGTTTCCTGCGTTGCACGAAATTTTGAACGGTTCTGTAGCCAGATATGGGGCTACAGAACCGCATGGCGGAAGTAGACATGGAAGTTTACGGAGTTTTGGCGCACCCCAAGCTCAAGCGGTGAAGCAGCAAAGATCTGATGAATTAAACTCAGCACATGCTGAACTGGCTGATTCTCTCAGTCCGTTACAGTTGTGGCAGAAGACCCAGTTTCAATCTTTCACTTACTGGCCCCACAAGTTCCATAACCGAAACGCTTAAAATAGAAATCAAATGGAAAGAAACAGTGGCTTTACATTACTGGAGTTCTCTGCGACAACAGTTGAGCTGCCGTCGATATCTTCGGGCTGCTAAGGTGGCTTGTGCATTGTCTAGCTAAAAATAGCGGAGGTACGACCTCGTTTTTATTTTGTGAAGGGAACGTTTTCATTTTGCCATGTCAATGCATCGAAAATGAAAAAAAGTTCGGCTCCAGCAAGTGGGATGTGAACGCGTTTTTTCCATTGATTTGCGTTCAAAAATGTTGGGTTACGCTGAAAATGACGCAAGGATATTCATTCTGGCAAGAGCTACGGTGACCCTCCGGAGCAGGGCGGCTTTGGGACACTAGGGAACGACACGCTTCATCGAAATGTGAACCATGACAGCGGCAATCTCCGCGAGGTGTTAATGAAACTAACCTTGAAGTACAGTGACCGAGATCAATAACAAGACCGCCGCGCTGGGTAGGGGCAATAATTTCGGAAATTAAGAGCCCCAATTTCCTTGCCCAAAGCACAGGAGAATGTGGAAGAAGACATTTCTCAGACAAGTTTAGGGTGGACGGTCGCAACCTACAGAGCCGAGCGGAAGAGGTGCGGTGGTAGATTCCGCACGAGCCGCCGGACATCTTGATCGTTGTCATATGCATAGGAGGTAGTCTAGGGGAGATGGTTGGGGGTATAGGAGCACCACCCCCGGATGAGGTGTGCAAATGATTCACATTGCATGCGTTGGACACACAGGTGACAAGTAGAGCGCAATCGATTGGCAATCAATTTCCACATGGAGAGCTCTGCCACACGCATCAGTTGTCAGGTCGTTTGGATAAGGATTCGGTCAGTTACCTTTCCACGCCGCGCATTCTTTTAGTACAGTAAACCGGCGGGGGGTTTCGAGTCTTGACTGAATTAGCGTCGGAAGTTGCGCAACTTGAGGGCTAGGTTCTCGAGACGAAAAAACGACGCCAGGTGTTGCTGGTGCTACCAGCAAAACAGTACCGCAAGTAGTCAAACGCAATTGCATGACAGGTTTTTGGGATATTTAAGGATATTATTTTTGGGGGCTCAGAGGAATCGGTGGCGCATCTCGCAGGGCCACGTGTGAAAGAGTGTGCTTCAAATTGCTCGAAGGGGCTGCAAAAAGACGGAAGAAGAGGGCAAGGAAGGACGGAAGGGGAAGCGGGTTGGTGGTGACTGGACACATCATGGCACCTTGCAACTAGAAGTCACAACAACTGCCCATAAGGTCATGTCTCGCCATACTGGCTGGTGGAGCCAACAATCGCGATTGCGCTGCCAAGCGTGCAAGGCCGAGCGGCAGCCGGCCCCGCCACTGTACAAATTTCTTTCCGTTCTTCCCGAGTCTGTTGATAACTTCGAATCACAATGTCCTGAAAACTGTCGAGTTCCGTGCGTGAGAAGTGCGCAGAAATTTCTTTTTGTGGTTTGGATTGGGTTCACGGGCCCTTGTTCATGATGAGGGGGGATCGGCCATGCTGCCACTGGGCTCCAGATCCTGTCCCCAGGCATTAGTATAAGTGCATGCCCAGGTGAAGTACAAGACTTGGAGATGTTCCTCAGATCGTTGTGGATCTTTGACTGTGATCCGCCTCCTGGCCATTTTTACACTCTGATGCTTCTGCAGTGTGTCTTGATCAGGGTGCCCTGTTCCTGAGAGATCGCACTTGTGAAGTTGCGATTGATTGATTGATTGATTGAAGTGAGTTAGGCTGCCAAGAACTGTTGTAGTGGTACTGTGGGGATGGTATTGGAGGGTTTCATGGCGGCGTGTGGACAGACCGTCGTGTCCACTGGAGTGTCCAAACTCCTCACGCTGTTGGTCGCGATCCAGTCTGCAGCTTTGGCATCGTTTGGAGGAGGACCTGACTTCGACCCCAAGTACTACGTGGACATTCCTTTGCGGTATTCTTTGAACGAGACCGCTCGCGCATTTGATGCTCTGCCACGCTTGCAGAACAACACCATTCCTCCAAGTGAGTCGTAAATTCTCTCCATCTTTTAAGTATGGATTGTATTATTCTTTACTCTCTCTCTCTTTTTTCTTTTTTTTTTGTTTTTTTTTTTTTTGTTTTCTAGATATGTGGGGCTCACAGCACAACTCAGGACGTCGCCGATCTAGTTCTTTCAGATGCTTCTTCTACTGATTGTCGGTAAAGTAGAGCATCTGCTGAGTCCTGCTCTTAAATTATTTTCTGTCTATTCAAATCATCAAACTGTTTTGAGTGCACCCAGATCTCTTCCTTTTCTGACGATTTTGGGAACTCAGGAAGTGTTGTGGGTGGACTGCTCTGGTTTTCGTTTGTTTGATACGTATGCTATCATTCAAGTTGTGATAGTTATTGCTTGTCATCTTTAATGAGCTGAAGCTTGGCAAGTGATTCTAAATTTCAAATGCTCATTTTGTTCTGTTTCAGGGGTGTTGGAACAGTTCTTGAGCCAATACTTTGAGTTGGCAGACAGCAATGTTATTGCAGACGCTCCCAAGGACTTCAACCGAATCCCTCAAAATTTTTTGCCACTAGTGCACAACCCCCAGGTTCGAAAGTGGGCTTTGCAAATTCATGAGCTATGGCTGGAGCTCTCACGGAAAATTTCACCTTCAGTGGCGATGAACCCAAACAAGAACACCCTGCTTCCATTGAACAATACTGTTTTGGTTCCTGGGGCAAGGTTCAGGGAGGTTTACTACTGGGACAGCTACTGGGTCATCAAGTACGCTATTTAAATTCTAAACCTCATTCTCATGTTCTAAGTAGCTATAGTTTGCCGCAGATGTTAGATTTCAGCAATGAAAGCGTAAAATGGCTCATTGACTCCGATTTCCAGGGGGTTGTTCCCGTTGCTTCACAATGCCTGGCATTGTGATAGCGGGTGGCTCAATTGAGAGCCTTAAGCAGAAATTGCAGCAATCCGACTGGTGTATTATGAATGGAACACTGTGCATTGAGGATTGGGTTGGCAGTTTGGCTACATTTTGTTGATTTCTCTGTTTAATTTGTAAGACATCACAAATCATACTAACAATCAAGAGCTGGCATTGTGGTCAATCAGAGGTCTTCTTGTAAGCGGCATGACAGACACTGCAAAAGGAGTGATTGAAAACTTGATGGAACTTGCAGAGCGGTATGGGTTCGTGCCCAACGGAGCTCGTATATATTACGAGAATCGAAGGTACAATTTTACAACCTTTGGCACATTGTTGCGTTGCACGTGAGTTATTGTTACAGCGTGCCGCATTATCATTTTATTTCTCTTTCAATCTTTCCTCTCTTTTTCCTTTTTTTCTATTTTCTATTTTCTTTTTCTTTTTGCTTCTTCTTTGGATCTGTGTGGAGACCACTCTCCCTTCATTGCTTTGTTTAGATCAGAGGATAAAAGAATCTTGGACGTTATTGTTGTTTATCAACGGAACTGGAAACTGAGACAAAGGTTCTGGTACTTATTGGATAATGCAGCCAGCCGCCACTACTAAGTATGATGATCCGTGCTGTATATGAGAAAACTCATGACAAAGCTCTTCTCAAGCGTGCTTTGCCAATTCTTCTTAGAGAGCATGCTTTTTGGACTTCAGGTGAGTATATTTAGAGCATAGGAGCCGTAGACGCTTATTTAGTGCACCAGTAAATGAAAATGAGACTGTGGATCGAAGGTGCTCATCTGTTCTGAGAGATAGGTGTTGAAGAAATTCCACAATCAGCTATCAAACAATTCTAAAAATGATTTGATATTGTGTGTCCAGAGCCACACGAAGTCAGGGTGAGGGACAAAAATGGCGATGAGCATCGTCTTAGTCGTTTCTGGGCTCATTGGAACAGCCCCCGACCTGAATCTTTCACAATTGTAAGATTCTTTTTCTTAGTTCAGTCATTGTGTGAACCCACAGTGGCTGATAAACTTGCATTTAGCAAGTGTTTTATGGGAGCAACAGTTGGAGTCTTGTAACAGTCCATTTGTCTAGCCAGTTAGGACAATGCCAGTAACACTGGATTGGATTCAAGACATTTTGTTGTTTGTATTCTACTGCAAGCACTGGAAATGTGCGATTGAGAAGCGGTGTAACGTCGATTACGGTCAATGAATCGCCGAAACCCCCTATTGAACTTTTCTTTGGAATGATTTTCTTGCGAGTGCAGGACACGCACGTGGCTCGAGGAATGAACAAAAGCAGAGCTGCGCAGCTGTATCATGACATTGCAACAGCTGCCGAGTCCGGTTGGGATTTCAGTTCTCGGTGGATGGAGTAAGTTCCTGTTGCAGATGCTGAAGCTAATAGCAGCTATTGGATATTCAGTTCTGGCATTGTTGGACCTTGAGTTGAATGTGCAATAATCAGGCAGAAGTACCTTTGCGTTGCATTCATTCTGAATGCTTGCCGGCGGAATATTTGACTTAGCTGCATTGTTTTATTCTGCTATTTGCTTACTATTTATCTTTGTACGGTGGCAGGGATCAACAAAACCTTAGAACCCTCCGCACGTCCATGATTATTCCTGTAGACCTAAATGCCTTTCTCTTCCAGGTACGGTATCTCATTGACTATCTGATATCTTGTCGTTCAGTAAATGCTCAGTTGATTTTAGGTTTCTGAATTTCAATTCTTGTCTGAACGAGCAGATGGAAAAGAATGTCGAGTATTTCGCTAGTATTCTAGGCAATCAAACTATTCAGACCCAGTTTGCAAGCGCCGCGAGTGACCGCCAGAGAGCGATCCAAAGGATTCTTTGGAGCAGGAAGAGAGGCCAGTGGTTCGATGCATGGCTGTCTCCCAATGGATGCAGTTTTAGCGAAAATGACAACAAGACGGTGAGGCCCTGAACTATATTTTCGTTTCTTGCTTGCAAAGGCAATAAGATTCGAAGCACCTGCTTGCACCCTGCGTTTAACTACTTCAAAACACTAAAATAGCGCAGTGGCTGAGGGTTTGTGTGGTATCGAATCGGAAGCTTTCGTCTTTCAAATGGAATCTTTTGATTTCCAAGTGTCAGTGGCCGTCTTGAATTTCTTCCATCTGCCTTTCAGCACGGCTCTCATTGTACAAACACATGTCCTCTTTTTGTAGATTGTGTACGAGTGGAAGCAAAAGAGACTCACGTACGCCTCGAATTTCGTCCCTCTGTGGGCCGGGGTTTTGCCCAAAGGAGATCCGAGGAGAGCACTTGTCGTTGAAGCACTCAACAAGTCTGGTCTGGTATTGCCAGCAGGCATTGCCACTTCTCTGAGGAACACAGGCCAACAATGGTAATCCTCTTCTCCAGTCTCAAGGCCGTCATTTTTCTACACTAGCGCTTACTTTGTACCCTTTTCTAAGTTCATTAATGCAGAAAGGTTCTTTAATATTTCAAACATTACATTCTGCTTCCTGTCAAGCAGCTATTTATCAAGTAGGCAATTACCCGCCTCCGAGAACCTCTGTTGAGTATACTCTTTTCTCCTGTGCAGGGACTTCCCTAATGCATGGGCGCCCTTGGTCGACATGGTCATTGAAGGTCTGGATGCAAGTGGTATTCCGAGAGGCAAAATGATGGCCAAGGCCATTTCCCAAAGCTGGATTCGTTCAAACTATGAGGCTTATCACCAGGTCGGCAAGATGTTAGAGAAATATGATGCCACCAGTTGCGGGAAGATTGGAGGTGGCGGAGAATACAATCTACAGGTACATTTGCTGAATCCTAAAACCTTCGACCTTCTTCCATTAGAAAAGAATGTAGAGGTTGCACCTGCAACGTTACCGAGCCTCGTCTTAGTTCTGGTTATCAAAGAAGAGGCTGTGTCTGAAAAGAAACTCTGCTCATACGTGGAATGGTTGGCTTGTGTGATGGCAGACCGGCTTTGGGTGGAGTAACGGTGTTGTCTTGTCGCTATTGCAAAAGTACGGGTGGCCAGCTGACAAGCCCCTTTTCTGTCCCGATGCTTTATAGCATGGTTCCGCCGAAGCGCACTAGTTTTGTAGAGTAGGCATACCCTGTCAAGAGAACAATAATTAGCCCATCATTCTGGCGAATGTGTGATAATCATTGCGGATCATGTACATAAATCTGACTCTTATGGGTCAAATTTTAAGCTTTGACGAGTACGAAACTAATAACACCTTAAAGATGCATCATTCAGTTACTGAAACATCTTTGACCAGCTATTCAAAATCTCAACATTGCATTATCTGGAGTAGTATGCTCTCAGCGGGAATAAGTGAGTAGAGCTTGTACAAACATGGTACACAGTAGCTTACGCGTAAGTAGCTAATTGGTTGCATACATCAAAACAGTAGGTGATAAAATAAAAAAATGGATGGCCATCAACTTCTTACACTGGCCGTTACAAGAATAATATTAATCAATTGATTACAAGTTGTTGAGGTTGTTTGTTTAGCTACCGTTAGGATATGTTGAAGTATTTGGACAGCATCTGACGATACTAGAAGCCAAGTCGCTGCAGACAACTGAATATTATTGACTTGTACGGCATGTAATCCGAATCTTGTCTAAAGCCACATCACCATAATTTAGAGTTACGTAATTGTGGATAAAGTGATTCTCACCCTGATACTAAGTCCTGTGCAATGTGGAATGTTCGATTACAGCTCGAAACACATCGAAATTGGGGGTCGGCAAGGAAAAAAGAAAAAGAAAAAGAAAACTGTATTTAATAAAGTTTTCGCTGATTTGATTCTTGTTCTTTAAGCTTTGTCCATCTATGACCCTTCCGTAAGATGATGTTGGCTGCAAATTAACCGATAAAGCAACATTGCTCAAACTCGATGCCCTTCGCTGTTCAAGAGTTACCATCCTTTCACTAATAAAGAAATTGCAATTTTAAACCATGTTGCTACGAAACGATTGAACAAAGATGATCAAGTTTCTTTAACAATAGATGCGTGTCTTCTATTCCTATCTGATTTTAGATAATCTAACCTCTGCAGCATTATGAGCGCAGATTTGCTCGCTTTCTGCACATGCAGTATTCTGCTGCAATTTAAACTTCAGCTCCTGCATCTTCGTCTTGGCTTCTCTGCTCTGCTTATTGAAATGTTTGTGGGAAACGTGAGTCAGACAAGAGGTTATAATGCGGTGTGTTGAATGTAAAGGACATTTCTTTTAAACAAGATAGAAATTTCTTGCCCCTAAGGTAACAAGCAACACACTAAGCAACACATAGCTCATAAACTTGGGATAGTGACCAACCTTTTTTTCTTACTTCATTGCACACTCGAGGAGACCTTTATGCAATCGTTCAACATCTGTTGCTGTAGATGGTTTTGATTGACTGTGCTATTCCTGTAGTTATGTTGCTGGTAGAAAAAAATGAGGTAGCAATGTGTTCGAAACATTTTTTATATATTAATATGATCAATATATTGTATGTACAAGATTTGTGTTTCATCAAATACCAATATCTTATTAGATTATCAATGAATGTGATGAAGTACAACCTAAATGTCTGCCTACTTGTATAAGACCACACATGTCAGAATGTACAAGCTCTAACAATTGGGTAGCTTTGTATGCACCTTGTATATGAAACTTCTCCTTAAGTTGTTTATCTTCTATGCAACATTTATACAAGGTAATTTTCTTTTCATCAAACAAGTTAATCCCTTTTGTCATTGTTTGTATTTGTTTAAGTTTTTGATAATTTATGTCTTCTAATCTTAGGTGCCATAGATGTCATGGACATATATATTTACTCTAGTAATTATCTATATGACTAGATAGAAGTAGATAAAAATAAATAAAAGTAGATTAATTTCATAATATCTTTTAGAATAGCTTTGTAGAAACTTTGTAGACATGGTTTTGACTTTACACATGTTTATAATTGACTTTTAGATTAGAAACTTTGCCAACAAGTTAGCTATGTGTCACATATATAGATAGCTTGTAGAACAACCTAATTATGTGGTGCACATATAAAAAACTTACCTTGTAAGTTAAGACATGTGGCTTACAAAGTCAAGACATATTAGAAATCTTAAAGAATGTCACTATATAGTTCCTAGGTGGATAGTATATATAGAGGCAAGAGTGAAGCCTTCTTTACTCATGCTAGCTTTTTTCTTGCTCTAGTTTAGATTCAAGAGTCTTTAGTTTTTTTTATCTTTTAGCAATAGTCATTCCAATTTTCTTTTAATATACATATTTTCTTACTTTTATTTTATCATACTTCTTTGAAAAAAATCTCACTTGGTTATTAGCTTTCATTAAGTTCTTGTCGTTAAAAGATTGACAAGAATACACTTACAATATCAGAGCTTTGTCTTTTCTTAATTAAGAGTGGATTACTCCATTTTCTTGATATGACATAAGTATATTAAAAGTTGTGGATTATCTTCTTCTAAACTAATATTGTCCTTAATATTTTTTTTGTTTTCAAGTCATCTATTTTATTTATTTTAAGCAATATAAGACATCTTTTCTTTTGTAAGTCTTATCATGGAAGAGCTTCTTGAAATGAAGAGTGCAATGGTATAAATACAAGAACAATTAAGCAAGTTAATGCTTGTGATGCATCAATTCAATTTACCACTACAAGAAATAATAAGAATGGTAGGAAGAAAAGATATAGAGATGATTGGAGGTGCTTCAATATTTGTACCAAATCATATCCCTTCTCCTATGGTGGGACATCGTTTGAGTGTTAGAAAATTAAAGATTACACTGCCTAAAAAGTTTGATAGTACAAGATCCAAATTTTGAAGATTTATCCATTAAGTATAACTTTTGATTGAACTTCAATCCTAAAGCTATCCAACTATAGGATTGCAAATTAGATTCATTGATACACTTCTTTTAGATTTAGTATTATCATCATGTTAATTTTTTTTTAATGACGAGATCAAATATTGAACAATTTGGAGGCTTTTTTGGCATAGTTTTGATCCATGTATGGAAAACATGATGCAATTTGTATTACAATCAACAAGATCCATATTTTACAATAAGGCAATCATTCAATAACATTATGTGCTTCATAATTTTGACAACTTATAATTAATATCAAATAGAAGATACTACATTTGTTAGCCAATTTTTCTATAGATTATAATATGAGGTAAAAAAATTGATGCTCAACTTACTTGATCCTCAAACATTCACTCAAGCAATCGACTTTGCTATAAGGCATGACAATCAACTTTTTGAATTTTAATCTGAGAGTTGTACAAGTATATCTCAACATTGTCATAATGTAACATGGCTAATGAATGAAAGAGAGAAAAAAATATTATATTATAAAATATCTTATTTAAAAATATTATAGAAAATTATCTTTAAAAATAAATAATAATAAAAAATAGTAAAGTTAAAAGGTACTATTGCTACTTTTTTATAAAATAGGCTTTTATTTACTTTGTATGGCCATAAATAATCCAAAACAAAATAGATTGAAAAATTAAATAATATAGGCTTATATAGGAAGAAATTAAGAGTAGATTTTAGCAAAATTTACTTCAAAAGCTAAAAATTGATACTCGAAGAGGATTGGTTGTCAACCTAGATTGAAATCAGACCTTGAAGCATAAACCCATACACCTATAGTAACTTTGGGGTTCTTTGGTAGATCAAAGAGTGGGATTTGAGAGCAAACCTAATAAGTTTTTTATGATCATTGGTTTTGTGTGATTTAAATTTGTAATGAATTGACTTGATTTTCAATAGTTTAAGTGAATTTTAGAAGAAAATCAATAGTTCAAATGAAAGATATTGGCATTGGAAGTTCAACATTCAGATTGGAGGAGGAGGTCGATCAATACCTGAGTAGATTTTAGGATTTTTTATATAATAAGTGCGATTATCTTCAAATTTTTTGTACTAGTTTTCAACTAAAAAGTTGAAAGGTGTATAAATTTTTAATCAAAATCAATGGTTCAATCAATAGATATTAGAATTCTAATGTGTGTTAGAATTTGTCTAGAATTTGGTTTAGGATTTAAGATTTGTTTAGAATTTGATTTAGGATTTAGGATTTATTTAGGATTTAATATAGGATTTAATATAGGATTTAAGATTTATTTTAGATTTGATTTAGGACTTAGGATTTTTCTAGAATTTAGTTAAGATCCATTAAAATTTTAATTAGGAATTAAATAGGATTTTATCAAAATTTATTTAAGATTTATTTTAAATTTTTTTAATATTTCTTTAGGATTTTTTAATGTTTTTTTTTTTATAATTTCTTTTAAATTTTATTAAAGCTTTATTAGCATTGTTAAGATTTAATTAAATTTTATTAAAGATTCTATTAGATTTGCTAGGATCTTATTATTATAATTTTCCTTCTATCTTCTATAGCTAAGTGCTCAATGTATTCTCAAGCAAGATTTTGCATAATACGACATATTTGATAAATCTAACATAAAAATTTTAAGGTGGAAGGTATTTGGAATTTTTTTTGAATTATTTGATTTATAAAAAAAGAAGGCAAGAGAGTTGAAAGAAGAGCTATAAGTGATGCTTTGATTGGAGCTACAAGTAGAGGTACTGGTGAAAGACAAAGTATGTATTTTTATCCCAACTCTGCAAGCATATTTGAAGCTTTTGCCTTATTTATGCAACAACAAAAAATTAAAAAAGTACAAAGAGGGTATTGCAAACAAAGCATTAGAAGCGATTGTGGATAAGATTGATCAATTTGAAGTGAAGGACATTACAAAAGGTAGGACATTCTAAGGTTTATAGATTCATGAGAGAAATTATCTCAAATATTGAAGGATGAGTTTTTCTTGGAGGATAATGATTAGATTACAAAGAAATCATTTTTTGAATGGATTAGAAGATCTAAGAAGAATCCACTAGCAAAAAATTTATTAAAAGAGTTTAAAAACCAATATTTTCATTTATCAAAGAAAGAGAGGCAATTATTCTCATTATTTTTATTTATCAAAGAAAGAGATCCAAGTGAAGTGGAGCTTTTTATTTAAGTGGCTTATAGAAAGTTATAAGCAAAATTGAAAATCTTGCATGAAGATAAAGAAGAAGATGAAAGATTGACAATAAATTGGAAGGAAGTAGAAGAGGCAGTAGGATTACTTGCAAAAAGAGAGAGGAGAAAGGATAAAGTAGATATTCAAAGACCATTGCAAGTACCTCAAATAATAATACCTATTATTAATGCTACAT